CCCCTCTTTCCCTCCCTCTCTCTATCTTCCCCTCGCCCTCTTTCCCTCCCTCTCTCTATCTTCCCCTCGCCCTCTTTCCCTCCCTCTCTCTTCTCCTCTCCACTATTTTTCCATCTCTCTCGCGTTCTGTGTCTCTCCTTCACCCCGTTTCCATCCTTCACCCTCTCTCCTCCTACCTCTCTGCTTCTTGTTCCCTCCTTCTCTTCCCCCTCCCTCCCTCTCTCTCCTCCTCCTCTTCTCTCTCTCTCTCTCTCTGTCTGTGTGATATGACAGTACAGTGTCAGCTCTTTCTTCTTTGAATCGTTTTCTTCTCTCTCGAGGGACTCTGTTTCCTCACTGTAAAAACTGCTCTTCATTCAGTTTATTCTCCAGTTAAACCGACTGGTGTTAGTGCATCCGTCTTTGTGATAAGGAAAGCAACAAAAAATCAAGATTATAATTTTCATTCACATGTTTAACTCACTAACCTGCACATTTAGGCTTCAGTTCTTCTCTCAAACACAAAAACACTCTGTTCCACCTTGTGATGTCATGTGGTTATACAGGAAGTGCTCCATAGTGCTTTAAAACTCAACACACTTTCACTAGAATCTTTTGAATGAATTCAGTCCTGGAGCTGCCGATCTCGACTGAACTAAAGATAAAAGGAGCTGTTGAAACTTGAAAACCCCCACTTGATGACATCAGAAGGTGGAAGAGAGCATTTTGAGCTTTGGATATGTAGACAGACTAATAATAAAGAGTTCCTCAAACATGTGAATGAAACAAAACACAACTCCAGATTTGTTTTTGAGGAGGAAACAGCGTTAAAACATGGTAAGACTGAATTTAGCGTAATATAGGAGCTTTAATATCTCGCAGGGTCCAGTAGGTCTCATAATATAATCATAATATTTATCATAATATTAGTTGGATCCAGTTTTTTCCAGATTAGTCGAGCTTTTCAAACCATCACAATGATAATTCTTCTGAACTCTGCACACTCTACAGTCACATGTCCTGGAAAACTAAAAAAAAACAAAACACAAAAAGTCAAATGTAGCTGAGTTAATATTCCTTGAAATTAAGAAAGTCTTATCATATTTTGAGTAAATTTCTCTTCAAAAGTACAATTATCTATGAATGAAACACCACTTTTGAAACAACTTTTTGCACTTAAAATAAAAAAACAAAATCAAATGTTGCTTGAATTAAGAAAAACACTTATACCGCGGTCAGTGAGGATGACAAAGTCTAACCGCTGTGCCTTAAGACGACACAACACTCAAGTAATTCCGGCAACAGCCAAATCACTGTTCTATATCACTGCTCTGTGGCCATCGCCATGATGTCACCATAGCAACAAGTAAACAATGATTAGAATTTATGGATTTATAATAAAAACTGGATAAAACTTTCCCCCTCATGACCCGTGTTCTGTGAAAATGAGCTTCGCAGCTTTTTTGTGGCTATACTGGTTTGTCAAAGTCTGATCCTGTCAGACTTCAGAAGCTCAGAGCTCTGGTCTGGTCAGGACTTGGATGGAGATGGTCAGAGGGACTGATGGCACCGATTGGCAACTGCGCTTCTGTCAGTCTGCCCCAGGGCAGCTGTGGCTACAATAGGAGTTTACCACCACCGGGTCTGGAGTGAGTGAATAATGAACTGTAAAGTGTCTTTGTGACGAATATCTGTGAAAAGTGCTGTATAAATAAAATACTTACTTTTTCTGTTTACAGTATAGATCCAATAAAGCTGAACCTTGACCATGACCCCTGACCTCTGACCTCTCCAGTGTGACACATGTTTGTTTGGATTGGAGTCGTGGGTTTGATGTTGTTCACACACTGATCACACTTTAGACCTTAGTTGTGTCAAATCTAAACTCATTTATGTGAGTGTGTGTGGTTCATGTGACAGTCGTGTTCTGCTCAAACAGACTCAGACTAAACAAGTACAGATCCACAGAACAATTTATCCTCCAATAATGTCCCACTGTACAAGAAACATTATTCACTCGTTTAGATGAATTTGGGTAGAGTTCATGTCCACAGGTCCATATCTGAATCTCAAAGAAAACTCCACTATAGAAGAGAAAGAAACGACTGGAAACACTCACATCTTTACATTAAATAAATATCAAGGCCACAGTGTGAATGTCCTGTTATAATATAGGGATCTTTTATTTCTGCAGCGTCTTTCTAAACAAAGTCACAACCTTTTCAAAAATAAAATCAAATATTAAATCCAAACTGTTCAATCACCTAGTTTAGGTTTTCTGCTGCAAATCCAACACACACACGTCGATGTTTAACTCAACAAACAGAAAATAAAACCAAAACACTTTTAAAATGTGACTTGTTACTCCACTTCTTCCTCAGGAGATCAAATCGACAGGACACCAGCTTCAGACAGACTAATGGCCACTCTGGGAGATGCGGCCCAGAAACATTTCTCCCACAGAGAGCAATGCATTTTGGGAATTCAAACTGCCAACTTCATCCGGCTTTCACAAAGGTCAGGTTTTGTAGAGATTCTTTTCTATTTTCACAACATAAACTTTTTTTTACATGTTTAAATCCTCGTGGCTCTTAAACAGACCGAGCCTCAATGCTCTGAGCCGCGCTCACTCTGCTCTAGCAGCTCTCGCTCTGATTGGCCCAAACACTCCACGTGCACGTTACAGACATCACACAGGTGGGAGGAGCTTGTCCAGATTGAGGAAGTAAATGCAGAAGAGAAAATTGTTTTTGTGCCCATGAGTCAATGAGCACAGAGCACTGAAAACAACACAACGCATCTTCACCTCCAGGGGGTGGGGGAAGTGTCCTGCTTAAAGACACACTGTGTAACTTTTCTGGTGGACGCTCCTGCACCTGGTTGTCTCCATGGCAATGATAAGTTTGCTTTGCTGGGAATGTTCCACAGTACAGCTTTAAATCCATCTCCATGGAGCAGGTGATGCCACAAGCTCAAGTCACAGGTCAGATCTGTGGAGAAGTAACCCTGCATGTTTTTAAAGGAATTTGTACCAATAAAAGCACCTTAGATGCATTTAAAGCTATACTATGGAACATTTCAGCATACAAAGCAGTACGGTTTCCATGGAGACGAGAAGGCGGCGTCCCCGACCTTTAAGATTTGAAGTTCAGCCAATACCAACTCAGCTGTCAATCAAGTTTTAAATGGATCATAATAAAAAATAATAACAATAGGTTGTCTGATGAGGTTAGTAGTTTGAATCCCACTCCTTGTTTGCTGTGTCCTTGGGCAAGACACCTCACCTACTCATCCTTCATCATCAGAATCAATACAACTTCATAACAGCTGTATTTATAAAATAATTTTAAAAAAGGGTTGGTAGTTAAATGTGGTTAGAAGTCTGAATTCTCCTCGTTCAGCCACGTTGTGTCATCGAGCAAGACACTTCCCCACTGATCAGACTCAATACAGCCTCATAAAAGCTGCACAAACAAAATATCCAGTGCAGACAATATTCAATTAAAATAAATAAAAAAAAGAGTTGGTGGTCAAATACGGTTAGTAGTTTGAATTCTCCTTGTTCAGCCACATTGTGTACTTGAGCAAGACACTTCCCCACTGATCAGACTCAATACACCCTCATAAAAGCTATACAAATAAAATATCCAGTGCAGACAATATTCAATTAAAATAAAATAAAAATAAATAAAAAAAGTTGCTGGTCAAATACAGTTAGTAGTTTGAATCCCACTCCTTGTTTGCTGTGTCCTTGGGCAAGACACTTCACCTACCACATTAGAAATCGTCAGAATTACACACACTTCTTTGTTTTGGTATTTAAAACTGCTTTGCCCTAGTAAAAAAAAAAAGAGTTGCTGGTCAAATACAGTTAGTAGTTTGAATACTCCTTGTTCAGCCATGTTGTGCCCTTGAGCAAGACACTTCACCTACTCAGCCTTTATCCTCAGAATCAATCGAGCCTCATAACTGTTGCACAAAGTGTCCAGTGTAGTCCTTATTAATAAAATGAGAGTCAAATATGTCAAATATGGTTAGTAGTTTGAATTCTCCTCCTTAAACAATGCTATGCCCTTGAGCAAGACACTTCACCTACCACACCAGTCCATCATTAGAATGACACCCTCTTCTTCGTTTGGTGCTTAAAGCCGCTTTGCCCTGGTACACACATTTACTCCAGTGTCAGTGTCAGCCCCCAAACCACGTCTCCTCATCTCCGCGCTCACTACTGTATCCGAACGCGCTCTTACGTAACAAACACAAGACCCCGCTTCATTCGGAGTTTGAGAAAGAGTGGGAGAATTCATGTGACACTTGAACGCCTCACAAAAGCTCATTGTAAACACGAATCCTGTAAAGCGCTGCAGAAACGAACGAGGAGTTTTGTGTGAGCGTTTGGCACGGGGTATGCGTAAAATCCAACTATAGACCAGGCTGGGGACAGTGCCATCTCTCCTGGTTAAAAGATAAAGTGTGAATAATTAATGTACCTAATGAAATCAACGCTATAGCACGCGACATGACGTATTTGAGCTCAATCTCACTGAATGCAAGCAGGAAATATGTCTTTATTATGGTGAAAAAAGGTGCAATTTGACATCAACCGCACCTTAAACTGGTCGTTAATGACAACATCTCCTCTGAGTACTGCAGCAGTCCCTTCCGCTGATATCATCCCCAACCGATCTCTGTGCAATTACACGTCCAAGATCCGATTCTCACAAATACATGAACGACAACGCGAGCCCCACACAGCACAGCAGCGGCTATGACATCGTTTTAATTACCTATTTACCTGGTTTCCGCAATGGGGAAAGCAGGGGAAGCAGAGTCGTGATCTGCGCCTACAATTTTTGGTATACAAAGACAAATCCCGCATATTCGCATCTTTCAGAGCCCCTATCGCGACATCTGAGCGAGAATTTGTGACAGGGAATAGGTAAGTAAGGAAGTAATGCAGCGTTTGTGGACAAATGTCGTGAAATAGAAAGGAAAAGAGGATGTCGTGGTTGGATTCTTACCTTTGGAGGATACGTGCGTTACGGCAGTGGCGGTGATGTAGCGCACCGACGAGGCATCATCGCAATTTACGCATGCCATTCCGTGCCATTTTTACGTAAATTTAGCCCAAAAACGCGCTAAAGTGACGCTGTATGTGGTGAGAGTGGCGGGAGCGCTGGTGTCCGCATCCCCTCAGCATCAGCAGCAGCAGCGGAGAGCGGCACAGCGCGGCGGAGAGCGGCACAGAGCGGCAGAGCGCAGAGACGTAGATGCCATGCGCGGGTATCTACTACGCACACGCACGCACGCCGCTTAAAGGGCCACGAGCACGATGCAGCTGTTCATATGAATTATGGCCGTTTCCAAAGACTGGAGGGAAAGGACCCGCAGGTGCGCCGGGAGCAGACACGCGCTACAGAGAAATGAGAGTTTTGGGACTAAATCAAGAGAGAAAAGCTCATCAAAAGTCCAACGTGCAAGGCCAGACTCTCTCTCCAACTTGATTTTCTTGATTTAGGAGCATCCTGTTGAGATTTAAAGGTCATATTTTACACTAAAATTACTCCTGTGAGTTTTAGCCGTGTTCTGATGTAGTTTCCTCCTCCCAAACAGGTGCACCTGAATAAACATTACAATAATATAAATGTATATGAATGAGTCAAAAAGCTCTTTTCATCGGCCCTGCCCCCGGAACAGGCTCCTCAAACATCACACATGGAAAACATCTGATGGGAAACTGGTTTGTCAAAGTCTGATCCCGTCACATCTCAGAAGTTCAGAGGTCTGCTCTGGTCTGGACTTGGATGGAGACACTGAGAAAATCAGGAGCCACAGGAGACACCAGAACAAAGACTGTTGTTGTGTCCTTTGACAAGACACTTCACCCACATTGCCTAGTATGAAAGTGGTGTGTGTGTGTGTGTGATGGTGGTGGTCGGAGGGATTGATGGCGTCAATTGGCATGGCAGCCGCACTTCCATCAGTCTGCCCCAGGGCAGCTGCTTACATCACCGGGTCTGGAGTGAGTAAATAATGATCTGTGAAGTGTCTTTGTGACAAATGTCGGTGAAAGTGCTGTATAAATAAATTATTTACTTACTTTCTTAAAAGTCAGTTTATTAAAATACAAATACAACTTTGTAGTAATAGTAATAGTAGCAGTAGTAGCAGTAGTTGTAATAGTAATAGTAATAGTAGTAGTAGTAGCAGCAGCAGTAGTAGTAGTAGTAGTAGTAGTAGTAGTAGTAGTAGTAGTAGTAGTAGTAGTAGCAGCGGTAGTAGTAGTAGCAGCAGTAGTAGTAGTAGTAGTAGTAGCAGTAGTAGTAGTAGTAGTAGTAGTAGCAGCAGTAGTAGTAGTAGTAGTAGTAGCAGCAGTAGTAGTAGTAGTAGTAGTATGTACAAACATTTAGTGCTCACATTTTTGTGATTTATTTTGCCACTTTTTTTTTTTTTTAGCCATTTTTACATTTCTGTGTTTGAGAATCCTGTTATTATTCATTTGTCTACATGTAGACCCAGAGTGTCCAAACTTGTTTCATCAAGGGTCACAGATCTAAACACAGTCGGAGCAGAGGGATGATCGAGGGACATAGACTGGAGCTGAATACAGTGAATAACTGAAATCTGTACATGTTTAACACGTTAGAATGAACCATCAGTTTTTATTCATGATAAGAGCCTAAAAACTACACACTTTATCAAGGTAGATTTTCAAAAAACTCACAGTAAAAAGTTCATTTTTAATTGATGCAAAGTAATTTGAGCCAATTCACCTGGAAACCTGAGGACCAAGAAAAAATTGTCTGAGGGCCACATATGGCCCACGGGCCATAGTTTGGACATGCCTGGGCTAGACAGCTCTGTCTGCTCTGTTCCACTTTGTGATGTCATGCAGTGGTAGTTTTCAACAGCTCCTTTTACCTGTACTTCAGTAGAGATGAGTAATTCAGATGATTCTAGTGAAGGTGTGTGAAGTGTAAAAACACAATGGAGCACTTCCTGTATTATCACATGACATCACAAGGTGGAACAGAGTGTTTTCTGTTTGAGAGAAGAACTCAGTGTAAATGTGCAGGTTTGTGTGTCAAACATGTGAATGAAACAAACAGAACATCTCCATGGAGACAAGCAGCAGGCACATCCCAATACAGACCTTTAGTTAGAATCAAAATACTGTAGTACTTGTAGAAGTAGTGTAAATGTATTACTAATACAGCAGTAACTAAGAAATAGTACTGGTAAATATACAGAATCCAATTATACTTCAAATGTTGGGAAAAGTATTGGTGGAGTTCTGTTAACAGGTGACAGTTTGAGGACTTTGGCTACATCACGGTTTGTGATCTACGTGGAGGAACACCGCTCCTCTGTCCATTGTGATGTTCTACAACTGCAGTGTGCATTAAAACTGCAGACCACACGGCTCCTCATTGTCTAATGTTTACAATTTTTATTTCAGAAACCGTTTTACTTGTGGAGGTGCCAAATGTTTGATCTTTTCTCCAGAGTCAGAAAACATGATCCACACACATTTGCACATTTTCGATCAGGTTTTATTCATAATATTCTTTAACTTCTGATAAAATACACTTTGTTTACAAGTGCTGAGTACTATGTTACATTCACCCAGAGTCTGAGAGTTTGAAGACGCACACAGAGACACGAGAAGACACAAAACCCCGAGAAAATGTGGCTTTAGAAAGAGTGGACCATACTAATGCTAACATGAAGCTAATCCACAGCGAGCTAATGAAGTGAACAAAGAACTTAAAGCTGCACTGTGTAACTTTTTTTTTTTCTGCTGCAGGGTCTGTCAAACACTTTTCTCCATGGAGATTTTGTTGCTTTGTCTGGAATGTTTCACAGTATGGCATTAAACTTTTCTATCTTCATGGAGACCAAACCAGACCAAGTTACAGGTCAGATCTGTGGAGAGGCGACCCCACTCACAGTCACAATGTCTGTTTTTTGAGGTATTTTTGAGCCATAAAACCACCTGTAATTGAATAAATGTAAAGTAGAGCTGTTTAATGTCACACTGTGGAACATTCCAGGCAGAGTAATGACATCTCCATGGAAACATGCAGATGAGGGACCCCCAGCAGAAAAGTTACACAGTGCAGCTTCAACATGACCAAATGACAAAGATGTTAACTGTAAACCTTTTTGATATTGTGAGTGTTCAAAAAAGAAAAAAAAAAGCCAAATAATAATTCATGTATTAAAGCTGCACTGCGTAACATTTCTAGGAGAAGTTTACGTCACTTTTTTAACTCCATAAAGATGTTATTGCTTTTCCCAGGGTTTTCCCAGAAAGTTCCAGAGTATGAATTAAACCTGCCAATGGATACAAGCAGCTGGCACCAAAATGTCGAGCTACAGGTCAGATCTGTGGAGAGGCAAGCCCGCTTGCAGTTTTCAAGGTAATAATAAAAAAAACAACTGTAATGAAATACAACAGTAAACAGATTAAAAGCATTACTGTGGGACATTCCAGGTAAAGCACAAACATCTCCACGTCGAGACAAGCAGGAAGGTGTGGAGATCTTCCACCAGAAAAGTTACGCAATGTAGCTTTACGCTTCAAATAAGAAAACAACTTGAACTTTTTCATAGCAGAGACTTAAGAAAACATCCAAAAAGAACGTCAAATTGAACAGCTGTGATCACGTTTTAGTTCCTCAACCTGAAACTACGGAAACGCTCTAAGTTCCATTTAAACATAGAAAGTACAATGAGAAATCTATAGATCTGGAAATGTCTTCAAAATGACACACAAACTCCGAACTTTACAGACAACTTTGTGAAAATCAAAATTAAATAAGACAAGAGGATTTTAAAGGTCCAATATGACACAAAAGTGACTGTTGTGAGCTTTAAGTCATGTTAGAATGTTAAATCCTCAAAAACACACCTGGAGTTGTTTTGTTTCATTCACACATGTTTGAGTAACTCTTTTTTTCTGTTTGAGAGAAGAACTGAGCCTAAATGTGCAGGTTTGTGTTAAACATGTGAATGAAACAAAACACAACTCCAGGTGTGTGTGTGACGAGGAAACGACATTAGAACAGATCAGAACACAGTGTGATATGGACCTTTAAGTTCAGTTCAGTTCAGTTCAGTTCAAAGAAAACGAATAAAAACAGACAGTGAACACATTTCTACCGTTATAGCAAATACCCTGTTGATTGAAAAGCAATTATCAAATAGATATTAATAAAAATATATTAATTAGAATATATTACTTTGATTAATGACCATAAAACATGATGTGATTCTGGAGTTAAGGTGACTTTGGTATTTTTTATACCAGCTCGAAAACAACTGCTCACACTCCATACTAGCCCCAGTTTGTTGATATTGCAAAAAATAATAATAATACAATAAAAAAAAAATAGAATAATTTGAAAATTTTAGAGTATATTTACCATTTTTATTATTATTTTTTTGACCAATTTATGACAATTATTTGGATAAGATATTATATTTCTTTAAAGCTATTACAAACCAAATTGCAAATAAAATGTCATGCTCAAGAAAGAAAAAGAAAAGTAGAATAGTTAAACATAGTAAAGAAATAAAAATAGAAAGCAGATTGTAACGGGGCAATTGATTTGATCAGCAACAGTGTGTTCAGTGGGTAAGTCAATTCCAAATCTTAGCAGTTAAAGCTACATTGTGTAACTTTTTGGTTGGGGGTCCATCACCTGCTTGTTTCTATGGAGATGTCATGTTCCACAGTGTCACATTAAACAGTTCTACTTTACATTTATTAATTTATTTATAGCTCAAAAATACCTAAGAGAGAGAGCCGCCTCTCCACAGATCTAACCTGTAACTTGGTCTGGTTTGGTCTCCATGAAGTTAGAAAAGTTTAATGCCATACTGTGAAACATTCCAGGAAAAGCAATAACAGCTTCATGGAATTCTGGTTGAGTCCTGGTTGAGTTCTGGTTGAATCCTGGTTGAGTTCTGGTTGAGTCCTGGTTGAGCCCTGGTTGAGCTCTGGTTGAGTCCTGGTTGAGTCCTGGTTGAGTCCTGGTTGAGTTCTGGTTGAGTCCTGGTTGAGTCCTGGTTGAGTTCTGGTTGAGTCCTGGGTGAGTCCTGGTTGAGTCCTGGTTGAGTTCTGGTTGAGTCCTGGTTGAGTTCTGGTTGAGTCCTGGTTGAGTCCTGGTTGAGTCCTGGTTGAGTTCTGGTTGAGTCCTGGTTGAGTTGAGTTCTGGTTGAGTCTGGTTGAGTCCTGGTTGAGTCTTGGTTGAGTCCTGGTTGAGTCTGGTTGAGTCCTGGTTGAGTCCTGGTTGAGTTGAGTTCTGGTTGAGTCTGGTTGAGTTCTGGAGTCCTGGTTGAGTCCTGGTTGAGTCCTGGTTGAGTCCTGGTTGAGTCTGGTTGGTTGAGTTCTGGTTGAGTCTGGTTGAGTTGGTTGAGTTCTGGTTGAGTTCTGGTTGAGTCCTGGTTGAGTTCTGGTTGAGTCCTGGTTGAGTCCTGGTTGAGTTCTGGTTGAGTCCTGGTTGAGTCCTGGTTGAGTTCTGTTGAGTTGGTTGAGTCCTGGTTGAGTTCTGGTTGAGTCCTGGTTGAGTCCTGGTTGAGTTCTGGTTGAGTCTGAGTTCTGGTTGAGTCCTGGTTGAGTCCTGGTTGAGTCTGAGTCCTGGTTGAGTCCTGGTTGAGTTTGAGTCTGGTTCTGGTTGAGTCCTGGTTGAGTCCTGGTTGAGTCCTGGTTGAGTTCTGGAGTTGGTTGAGTTGTTGAGTTCTGTTGAGTTCTGGTTGAGTCTGGTTGAGTCCTGGTTGAGTTCCTGGTTGAGTTCTGGTTGAGTCCTGGTTGAGTTTGAGTTCTGGTTGAGTCCTGGTTGAGTTCTGGTTGAGTCCTGGTTGAGTCCTGGTTGAGTCCTGGTTGAGTTCCTGGTTGAGTCTGGTTGAGTCCTGGTTGAGTCCTGGTTGAGTCCTGGTTGAGTCTGGTTGAGTTCTGGTTGAGTCTGGTTGAGTCCTGGTTGAGTTCTGGTTGAGTTCTGGTTGAGTCCTGGTTGAGTTCTGGTTGAGTCCTGGTTGAGTCCTGGTTGAGTTCTGGTTGAGTCCTGGTTGAGTTCTGGTTGAGTCCTGGTTGAGTTCTGGTTGAGTCCTGGTTGAGTCCTGGTTGAGTTCTGGTTGAGTCCTGGTTGAGTCCTGGTTGAGTTCTGCTTGAGTCCTGGTTGAGTCCTGGTTGAGTTCTGGTTGAGTCCTGGTTGAGTCCTGGTTGAGTTCTAGTTGAGTCCTGGTTGAGTCCTGGTTGAGTCCTGGTTGAGTCCTGGTTGAGTTCTTGTTGAGTTCTGGTTGAGTCCTGGTTGAGTCCTGGTTGAGTCCTGGTTGAGTTCTGGTTGAGTCCTGGTTGAGTTCTTGTTGAGTTCTGGTTGAGTTCTGGTTGAGTCCTGGTTGAGTCCTGGTTGAGTCCTGGTTGAGTTCTGGTTGAGTTCTGGTGGAGAAAAGCATCTGATGGACCTTTCATTAGAAAAGTTACACAATGCACCTTTAATCCACCTTTAATCCTAGTGCCATCATGAATGGTTATAAAACTCTACAACTGTATAAAGCATTTAAATAACTGAACTTTCTATTTTTCTTTTATTTTCATAACTAAACCAAAACATTAGAAACAAGTGTAAATGATTCTTCTCAGATGGAGACAAATGGAAGTGGAAATGACACATGTTTAGTGATCACAGTCTCTCCCTGTGTTTCCAGGTTCCTCATTAAAAACAAACAAGGAGCCAGAATCTACATTAAAAAACAAATTATTAAAAATTTCACACTTCAGAATTTCTGAAATCAAATTTTAAAAAGGACAATAAACATTTTGAAATCCCAAGCTTGGAATTTTGAGCAGGGTTGAATGCAACGTAACGTGTGTGGTCTTGGTTTTCGGCAACAGTACTATTTGATTAAAGCTGCACTGTGTAACTTTACTGGTGTGAGGTTGTTTCCATGGAGATGTTACTGCAATACCTGCAATGTTCTGCAATAAAGCATTACTAAACTTATCTTAACTCTATGGAGACAAGAAAGTGACACCACAGAGCCAGTTTTTGCTACATAAACGCCTGCGGTTTAACTAATGCAAGATAACTTAACTGTAATGCAATACTGTGGAACATTCCAGGTACGTCCAAACAGCTACAGCTCCATGGAGGCAAGGAGGTGCTTAACCACACCAGAAAAGTTACATAGTGAAGCTTTAGGAATGTTAATGTGTGATGTAATAGCTAAAAGGACAACATTGCAAATTGTTATTGCACTCAAAACAGCTAACATGCTTTGGACTGTAAAAATTTCAGATTTAGTTTACAAGTTGCCTCTTCACCAAAATTTTGTCCAATTACCTTAAAGGTCCCATATTTATGATTTATTTCTCTTGAGAGCTTTAAATCATGTTATAATGTTGTTCCCTCTTCAAAAACAGACCTGGAGTTGATGTGATGAGGAAACGACATTAGAATAAATGAAAAACAGTGTAATATGGGCCCTTTAAAAAAAACACTGCATGCAACCCTACTCAAAATCCCCAACTAAGATTTGAAATTAAATTAAAATATTTTCAAATGTGAGTGCTGTACAGTTGCTGTCTGAGATCCCTGGGGTTAAGAAGTGCTTTGAACCTGTAATTGTGAAAAAACGTGTGCAATCGTGTTTTTATAAAGTTATTTCTTAAAAGTCTAAAATATTCACACTTTTAAATACAAGCATTTTCAGTTATAATAAATGTACAGACTTTATATAAAAGAATTTACTGGTAGTTGCACTTCCCTGCCATGCATTAGTATAGGTTGGGTTCACAGTCAATAGAAAGCAAAGGCCAATGTAACTAGAATTAAAATACACTTACAGACTTAAAATTACAATGTTTTTTCCTAATTATTATTTCATAAATGGTTCCAAAAATCTATAAAATGAAGGTATTGTTTCATTTTTATAGAAATGATGTGTTATATTAATAATATTATAACAACAATACAAAATCATGTCATTTCCCTTGTTTTAAGGTCTAATTAGAACTATTTCTATGTGATTTGCCATTTATCACCACATGTTGGCGCTATAGAGGTAAAACAGTTTCACTTATGTTTACTTGTGCTGCTAAAGGATACCTTGAACTTTGAGACAGTTTTTGTTTCATATGAATAGGCCCAGTAATGACAGAAATATGAAACATGAACTAAAGGCTGCCACACACTACAGGATTTTTCAGTCTTAAATGTTTTTAACACGTGCGACAAAACGCACACACCACAGACACGAGGAGAATCTTATGAGATTTGAAATCTCCCATCGCAAAGACTGCTGCAGGAGCGCACACAAAACCGCACACGAGGACACAAAATCGGGTCACGCCTCCCCAAAATTCTCCTGTAGTCAAGGCCTTCAGTCCATACTCTATAACTGTGTCTATACAATTTGCATAGACACCACTTGTTGGCGCTATAGCGATAAAATAATTTCACTTAGGTTTGTTTGTGCGGATAAAAAGACATTGAACTTTGTGCCAGTTTTTGTTTCTCGTGAATAGGCCCAGTAATTCCAGAGATATGAACTAAATGAAAATGTGCATTTTTTACAGTTAAAATACCATTTCTACCATAGACTTCAATGCTTAACTACAGTCTGTGCGTGAACCCAACCTATAGGAGGTACTGTATAAAACAACCACTGATTATCACAAGCGCCCTTTGAGTTTTCGTTTAAAATCAGGCCGAGAATATACGTAATTAAGAAAAGTGTCCGATCTACAACAAAATGCACTAGAAATATAGCATCACATTCGCCGATCCCTCTTATAAAAACTAAACGCGCTTCTCTAAAAGTTAAAAAAATAGACCACGCTAAGTTGCTAACGCTAGCCAAGTGCAAATAACGCCGTCACACCGCTACGATGCTAATCTGATTGAAAACGGACTGAAATTCTACTAAAATTGCACAAAAGAATTATAATTTTTGTCTTTCCAGTGTAAAATCTTTAGACTTGATTGTGACGTTCAAATGATCTCACTACAAAAGGAAACATCTGCGTGAGTTCAAATGACTCGGAGCATCCAATGTTTTAATCTTGAGTTTTTAAAGGTGGATTATGTCACTTTTCTGGTGGGCGATCAGCAGAGATGTTTTTGTTTTTGTCTGGTGTGTTCCACAGTATGGCATTAAAGGTCCTGTATTATATTACACCAAACTGACTCTTGTGAGTCTTGTGAGTTTAAGTTCTAATGTCAACAGAGTCTCAAAACACACCTGGAGTTGTGTTTTGTTTCATTCACACACATTTGAATAACTCTTTATTATTAGTCTGTCTACATCTCCAAAGCTCAAAATGCTCTGTTCCACCTTGTGATGTCATAAAGTGGTGGTTTTCAACAGCTACTTTTTACATTTAGCTTAGTTTAAATGGGCAATTCCAGGGCTGAAATCATCCAAATGATTCTAATGAAGGCGTGCGGACACACTTCAGCACTTCCTGTATTACCAGACGACATCACAAGGTGGAACAGAGTGTTTTCTGTTTGAGAGAGCTCAGTCTAAATGTGCAGGTTTGTGTGTGAAACATGTGTGAATCAAACAAAACACAACTCCAAGTGTGTTTGTGTTGAGGAACATTATAACAGAAAACAGTCTAATATGAGCCCTTTATACTGATCTATCTCAGGGAAGAGGAGGAGGACAAGGTTACAGGTCAATTCTGTGGAGAGGCAAGTCTGTTCACAGTAAGAAAGTATGTATTTCAAGATATTTATAAAAGACACTAGAAATAAAAAAAAAGCTAAATAGATGTAATGCCATACTGCACAACCTTCCAGACAAAGGAGTAACATCACCATGGAGACAAGCATTTGATAGACCTTCCAGAAAAGTTACATAGTGCACCTTTTAAGAACACTGTCAGGCAGATAAATAAAGTCATTTCAACTCATGGAGATAGTAGTTTTTTGGAGTGTATTTTAAATGACCTGATGTTTTTTTTTATTATTATTTATTAGTACAACTTTACAATATGGCTACCCATTTGATAAAAAAAAACAAACAAAAAAACAAATAAAATTAAAAATTGAATTTAAAACTATATAAATATAAAATGTTAAAATAATTTCATTTCTGATTAAAAAGTCGTGTCTTAAAATAAAATGCTCTTTAAAAATGCTGTACCATATTTTTTCGGTTTTGCAGTGGTCCAAAGTTATTCCTTTTTATTCTAATGCATCGTAATTTTAGCTACAATCTCCAACTTTAAGACACCAGAGGAGTTTTGGAACATTTTCAGGCTAACAAACTGAATAGAAGTGGTGTCAAAAGTATCAAAAATCAGATAATAATCGATACTAAAACTAAACTCATTTTTCACAGGTATCGATACTAAAAAAGTTCCATTGACGGCACAGATATGAAGTTTTCCTGAATGTCTTTAGAATGATGTGGAGCTGTATGGAACCTACATGGAGCACTGAGGATTACACACATCTAAGACACATGGGAATAGAAAAAAAAGGACTACCGTTTAATGTGGAAAATCACAGTATATTGTCTAAAGAAAGAGGGTTTTTGTGTTGTGCAACTGTAATGCTAACAAACAAGGTAGCCATATTGTAAAGAGACATTTTTAGATATTATTTGTACATTTGTGAATTATCGTACCACTAAACAGGACACGCACAGTTTGGACGGCCCTATGCAGTCGTCATGGCAAAAAGCTCCACACCCTTTGCACATGATCATAGCTTTGAGTCTGCAGTAGCATTTCGACTGCACGTCCTCCATATTGGGCCCGTCTATGTAGGACTGTTCGGGTGAGGGCTCCCCCTGGCTGCTGTCCATGGACCTACCGGCTGGGATGGTCGTAACGGTCACCGAAAAGGACATGACGCTACCGTGCTGTCCACTATCCGTCTCCGAATAGTTGGAAGAATTTGAATCCAAAACGGAATCCTTGTTATTGTTTAAAGTCATGCTGTAAGACCCGCTATACGCTGCTTGTTGATTGTCTTTGTGAAAACCTTGCTGGTGACTCAAATATGGCTCTGAACTTCCTGCGTTGTTGCTAAAATTGAGGTGCTTTTGTTGAGGGCTGGTTGAATCTTTGGCGATCCCACTGCTATTATTATTTTTATCGCTATCCTCGAATCCTGGTTCGTTTTTAATCCTTACGCAAAGAAGTTCCTCTGTTTTGCGTTCAGTTTTAACCCCCGATAAAGTTCTCCCCACACCCTCTGCTTCACCAATTTCCCTTTTTAACTTATTAGAAATTGCTTGCTGCTTCTGTCTATCCGACCCTCTTCCATACGTCGAAACGTTTAAGAGATAGTGTCCGGTCATTGCTGGTTTTTGTTTACGTTTGCAACCTAAAAATCCCACTCCAATTTTTGTCAACTTCTCTTCTGCGTGCTCCATTTGCGTTGCCTTCAAATGTTGTGATCCTAACCCTCCAAACTGTTGATTTTGCTGGGTTTTCCGCTGCATCAAGGCTTGCAAAATTTGCTCTTGGGTTTCCTTATCCGGAAGCTCCTTGTGATGCTTAAACTCCTGTCTTCCTATCGCGGACTTATTTTCCACATTATTCCCACTAACCAATGGCGTCCCCTTCGCCTTCGTCCCTGTAGATTTCACAGCCATTTTAACTTCAACTTTGGATAACGGTTTTGGAAGTATCTGCTCCATCGGAACCTCTTTGCCTTGGAGAAGTTTGGTTACGAGCGGGTTGTTAGCTGGGATGCACGACGTGTTTCTACTCGTTCCGACTGGCGAAACTTGACTTTGCTCTTTCGATATCGCCGTCATATTTTGCTCTAACGAACTGCTACATGGGACGCTAACCGGACTTGCCTTTTGCTCGACTTTGATGGAGATTTGCGTGGGGCTAGGTGAGGTCTTTACTTCGAAGGAACGAGAAGGAGGGGTGATGTTCGTATGTGGTATCTTCACAGGAGCTTGTGGAGATGTAGGGCTCGGGCTTGGCGTTGGAGATGGTTGGTCCAAACTGGCGCCAGAATTCACAGGTTGAGTTCCTGTTCTCGCCGCGGCCGCCATGGCAGCTCTCTGGGCACGGGCAAGTTGTGCTTTGGCCTTGATATCGGCCAAGGTTCTGGCTCCGGTTCGACCCGGGCTGCTGAGGGGGGCGGGGAGAGGGGCACGAGGAGAGGGCTGTCCCGGAGACACTGGCACAGGGTGGATACGAGACTTGTGGATCTGAAAAGAGAAGAAGAATGTTAAAAGTTAGGGATGGTACAAGATCTCGTGAGACAAAACTGCCACAAGATAAAGCACGCAGGAGAAAAAATGTCTAGTGAGAAGTGTTTGAAAAGTTGTCAGGCCAAAATTGGAAACTGAACTCGTAGCTCACCTTGTCTTGTGAAAATTGTTTAAGAATTAAACAATTGATGAAATCAAAGTATAAAAGATTTCCATGTTTTCTGGTCTTGCTGTAGAAGTATAATAATGGGATGTTTTTCTCTAGAGATGCCAAGAATTATTGGTAATCGATAACTGTAATTGAGTACTGAATTCATAACATAACACAACTGAACTGTTTCAATTAATATAATCTACACCATTTTCTACAACCATTTTATAAGCAAATTCTTGACATTTCCAGTCTATCTGTACTCCAGAAAAGGAGTATAAATGTAAATGTTTTTGTATTAGTCCTGTCTTATTTTCTTGTTTTCAGTCTGCTGGTATCAGTTAATATCTTAAAGTTTTAGTATCAGAATCGGTATCGGAACTGAAAAATCTGGATCGGTGCATCCCTAATTTCTGGCTTTTAACACCACGTAACTTGTTTGATCCTCTGTGTTTTTAAAGAATTTATTAAAATGTTTCTTAATTGTATTTATTTATTGCTATTTTTATGGCTTTGCTTTTATTTGACTTCACTGGTTTTAGTGTTTTAGGACTGACAAGGTTAAACTGAGCATTTATACCCTCTGTATTTTGTATTACCTTTTGTTCTTTTTAATGTTCTCTTTATATGTGCAGCACTTTGGAAACTGTTTTCTTGATAAAATGTTCCAAAGTCTAACTCCTCACACACACACACACGCACACACCTTCAGCGGTGGGACTCTCTGGCTGGACGGAGAGGGCGTAGCCGGGCTGGAGATGGAGGAAGTTGGGGGCGGAGACACAGACGAGACAGAGGACACAGAGGAAAAAGACGACAGCCTCTGCCTCTTCTCTGGACTCACGTCACTGTCTGTCTCACTCAGAGACTTACGTTTACAACCATCAGCGCTCCCCAACACCTCCTCTTTCTGCTCTATCACTCTCTCCACAGACACTGGGTCATCTTTTTTGACTTCCTGAATTATTTTTGTGATTTCTTCTTTCTCCAAAACTGATTTCTGATCTGTCTTAACCTCTTGGCTTAATTCTGTAGGTTCTTTGATCAATGACAGAACGTTCTGATCTGTTTTAGCTTCTTCATTTAACATTGCAGACTCTTTAACAGATACAATTTTCTCATGCTTTTTACCATCTTGGCTTAATTTTGCATCTTTTTTGATATCTTGGATAAGTTTTGGAGGTTCTTTGATTGGAGAAACTAGTTGTGGAGGAGGTGGCTCTGCTTTCTTCTCTTCACTTTGCGTCACCTTTTCAACTTCTTTGGACGTCTTAGCTTCTTCTGTTACCGTTTTGTTGAGTGACGCGGATTGTGCGGCGATGCTAGCTTTGCGGTCTTCAGCTTGTTGCGCTCGCCTGGTTCGCATCGGTTCTAGAACAGGAAGAGGTGGTTTGGGCAGTTCTTGTGATGGTTTGGAGGGAGGTTTGATGTCTTTAGCGGCGGCAGAAGAAGCTGATTCAGGTTTCTTTTTCTCATCATTGTCCTTAGTGTCCCCTGATTTGGTTTGAGGACTTTTAGCAATGGTAGGTTCTGTCGATGGAGTAGGAGGAGGAGGAGGAAGAGGAGGAGGAAGAGGAGATTGCGTTTTGGATGTTTTCAGATTTTGATCGACCTTCGTCAGCTCTTTGGATTCCTCAAAGCTGAGTCCAGAACTGGAGAAAGAGACAAAAGAGGCATTTCATTTGTAATTATAAAAAAAAAAAAACAACTAAGAATGTAAAAATCTGTCTCTTACTTTAGTAATCATGATTTCTCTATCTCAATCAAGCACCGCAAATGCCCAGTTGTAATGCTATAATTATGTAAAGCCCTTCCATGTAACTTTTTAGCCATATAGACAGATATGGTTTTAACTTTCTATTATAACAGAATCATGCAGCTGATGTGCCAACTCCAGAATGTTCCACAAAGCTGCTTTGACTTCATTTACTATTTGCCCTGATGACAATTTAAAAAGAACTAGTTTAGTCCTTGTTCAGTCCTGGTTTAGTCCTGGTTCAGTCCTGGTTTAGTCCTGGTTTATTCCTGGTTTAGTCCTGGTTTAGTCCTGGTTGTTGTCATTTGGAAAGAAATGGGTTAGTTGCATAACTGACTGTCATCTTTCTGTATCTCACTCAAACATTGCAAAAATGCAATATACATGCTATAACTATGTAAAGCCCTTCCATGTAACTTTGTAGCCATATAAATAAATATGGTTTTAACTTTCTATTAAAACAGAATCACGGAGGTGATGTGCCAACTCCAGAAAGGTACACAATGTTGTTTTAACTTCATTTACTATTTGCCCTGTGTGAATGAATGAAGAGTCACTGCTGATGGGAACATATATTGCTCTTGTTCTGAAGTTGTTCCCTCCTCAAAAACAGACCTGGACTTGTGTTTTGTTACAGTCACATGTTTGCGTAACTCTTTATTATTAGTCTGTCTACATTTCCAAAGCTCATAATGCTATGTTACACCTCGTGATGTCATGAAGTGGTAGTTCATCAGAAAATTGTGTAATATGGGCCTTTCGGTCACTCACTTCTCTCCGTAGTAGTTCTCGAAGAAGGCCTCTTTCCAACTCTCCATTTTCTTTTCTTTCTCGATTTCTTGGCGCATTCGAAGCTGTAGCTCTGGCGTGAACTCCCCTGCACAGACATCACACATGTACAGTACAGCTACAATGGACTGCCTTATGTACCTGTCCATTCACTCTGGGCCTTGGTGACATAATCGTCTTTTCAACACTAAACTCAATGCTGTTATTATCCAATGAAGCTGTGTTCACTGACCCTCTGCCAGTCGCTCCTTCCACGACTGCGCCGCCGATGTGAAGAACTCATTGTTTAGGGCAGAGCTGGTGACCTTCAGGAGTCCGTCCATACAAGCCTATAGGAACAAGACCACAGTTTTATAAGAGTTACGTTTGTGAGATGATTAAAATTTGGAAAGAAATGGGTTGGTTGTGTAACAGTAATGTTGTCTATGATTGTAGAAATGTTTTCATACTAAGACCAAAGTAACTAAGGAAGCAGTCTGCACTTACAGAGCCAGTCCCAAATTAACTGAGATTTGTATAACTTTGCAATATATCAGGAAAAAATAATGTTTCCATATTTTTACCCATATTTTTCAATATTTTTACCCATTCCATGTTAACAATTATTGTTTGATTATTTTGCGTTTTTAGCTTTGGTCCGTGAAAAATGGACTTTTCAGAGCTTTTAATCATGTTTTTTCCCCTCCTCATTTATTATCTCGAAGTTGTATTTGAAATGTTTGGTGCATGTTTGAGTAATCTTTAATCAGATATTTTCAGAATTGCGAATTAATCCCCATTTTCACTGCCACTGGTAGATGCCCACTGTACTTACTTTGTTCTTGAATTTTATTTTCGTAATCAATGATATGCATTTGGCGGCACTGAAATAGTCATTTTGGTACAAATGAAAAAAATCATCTGCTCACTATTGTGATGTGCCCACAGCCTGCGGCTCTTTGCTGTGATGACGTTTACAGCCACATCTGCTTCCACTGAGCCCCACAGTTTTCTAACGCAGCAATCAGCAGACTTGTTTATTTTATGAAGTTGTTTTAGATCAATATTGTGATGATTATTATATTATAACAGAATTATTCTGAGGGGTCAGAGATTATAACTGCAAAGCACAAAGCACAATATGTCGTCTTTAATGTGGTGTGCACTGAACCTAAACCCACAGTTCCTCAGCCTCTTCTCACCTGTCGGTCGACCTCTGGCAGGAGCCGGAGCAGTCTCTGTTGACAGTCTGGAGGCAGGACGCTGAAGGTGTGTTTGTTTATGAGCGCGCGCAGGTTTGTGTTCACCAGGATCGAGTCTGGAGTCTCCACGTCGATGTTACACTTGGTCCGTTTTATCTGACCTGGAAAACAAAACAAAAACAAAACAACAATCATTTAGATGTGTACTGTATTTTTCAGACTATAAGGCGCACTTAAAATCCTTTAATTTTCTCAAAAATCTACAGTGAGCCTTATGTATTAATTCTGGTTGTGTTTACTGACCTCAAACTGATTTTATGTGGTACACAGTGCTCAAAAATTTGTCAGAATGTTTTAGTACAACTTAGGTAAGATGCAAAAGGATCGTGGATGCCTGGGCTAGAGCATGGAAAACTAACCGAAGTCCTACTGGACCCGTCGGTTTCTGACAGGTTCAGACAAATATTTAGTACTTATATACGGGCTCGGGTTGGACTCGGACACATGAGCGTGTCAGCTGTTTGCTGTCTACAGTAAAACCACTCGCTCTGAGACTCTTAAGTGTTCAAAAGATTAGCGCTCTGCACTAGTTTAGATCCAAATACAGTCAAAACTGTGTTATTATTATTTGTGAAATGTGGTGCAATACTTCAAATACATGATTTGTAAAGCATAAAGATTGGCGATAAAGTACACAGGAAGTAGAGTCACACAGCTTCATCTTGATCCAAACAATGTACGGACGTAAATAAACATATGTGAAACTACTCGCCTCTTTACTTTTAACGCTTTAAACTCGATTAATAACGCTGTTTTGTGGACTGGATATCATTATTTGTGGAGGACAATTTCTATGGATAATGTGGACGAGATGCTGCACTTTATGAGATGTGAGTAATAAAGTCTTCTCATTATTTTTGGTCAGATTCAATCACTGCTCTTTCAAACGCGGGCTGGGCAGAAAATTCTGCCCAATCCACACTTAAACTCCCTCTAACAACTCACTAGAATGGATAATTCAGATTTAGAAATGCCAATCGCTACTGAATTAAATGTAAAAGAAACTTTTAAATCACCACTTCGTGACATCATAAGTTGGGATAGCGCATAGCGAAGATGTAGACAGACGATTAATAAAGAATTACTCAAACATGTCAGTGAAACAAAACACAACTCCATGGATAACAAGAGCCAATTTTGTGTAATATAGAACCTTAAGAAAATGTTCACACTTGTCCTGGTTTGGGCCCAATTTAAGTCCTAATATAGATTTGGTTTGGTCCTGGTCAAGTCCTGGTCGAGTCCTGGTCGAGTCCTGGTCAAGTCCTGGTCGAGTTCTGGTCGAGTTCTGGTGGAGTTCCAATTATGACGTGGTAATTGAGGAAGTAGTCATCACTGTTTACTATTTATTTCATTTTTGCTTTGATTTTGAGTGAAAAATATGACACCAACAAAAATACTGTGAAGGATTAGTCTCAATTATAAATCAGCCACATTTGCTACTATTATCGATCCTTATACCAAAAATTTAGACTTTATTAGAAACATAAAACAAAAACATACCTGCACTTAACCTCCTCTGGGACACCTTTCTTGCTCCCACTGAGTGCCGCAGGTCTGTGGGGAAAAACAAAGAAGCATTGTTTTCAGAGAGGAAGATGACTGAAAGTAAATGCAGTCTCTCCCTACATACAGTGTAAAGTATCCTTGTTTTGTGTATTTTTTGACAACTTTGTAATTTGTGGTTGTTTAATGGAGGGTAGTAGAAATATTTATTAAATATTAACCCTAAATCAAGTCAAATTTTAGGCTTTTAACAGACCAGTTAACCTGCATTTATTACATATTTCTTACATGCACTTGTATAAAAGTACAGAATTAAAGCTGCACTATGAAATTTGAAACTCTGGTGAAGAATGAGCCACTTGCTTGTCTCCACCTGGAATGTTGTACAGTGTGGCATTAAACTCATCGTCTCTATGGAGATAAACAGGTTATACCACAGGGTAAGCTGCATGTCAAATCTTTGGAGACATGACCCTATTCACAGCCAGAATGAATGCTGTACAAGCTATTTTTCAGTAACAGAAACACCTGTGATTAAAGGCAAGCTAGATTAGTTTAATGCCACACTGTGGAACATTCCAGGCAAAGTAATAACATCTTCTTAGAGACAAGAATATAGTGGACAACCCCACCAGAAAAGTTACTTAGTTCACCTTTAAAGGCACTGTGTCTGATGATTAATTTTAAATGGTTTACAATTTAGCATTCTTATTATTCACCAAGACTTTATAAGAGATTTTTCACAACTCTCACAGAGCAGAGCGGAGTTTTGCCATGACTGTAAAGCTAACTACAACTAGTATGCTAATATGCACTTTATATTTATTATATTATATTCTTCACATCAAGAAAACCACTCACCCATTCACACACGTTCATACACCACAAGTGTCTTGCTCAAGGACACAATGGCAGTATTCATCTGTGGGAGCTGGAATCGCACCGCCAACCTGTGTGTCAGTGGATCTGACCACTCTACAAATGATGTTCACGTCAAGTGGGTGATTCAAACTGGCGACCATCAGATAAGTGCACAAAGACTCTAACCAACTGAGCTACAGTCACACAGTTTGCAAATACATGGAAAAAAAATAACGTACAGGGCCTTTAAGTTCGAACTTCTTCTCAAACAAGATCGATAAATACAATATGAATCAATTACATCACAGTCTATAGCTCTCTAATTCTCTCCTTACCCGCCTTCGTTGAGATGTTGTCAGCCATTGTGATGTCTTTAATGGTTTTGAGTAAAAGCCTTGGACTCGAGGCAGATCCCATCGCTCCCTGTCTGCGCTGGTTCCTCTGCTGCTTCAAGGCCTGAAAACACGAGAAAAATAATCAAATTTTAAAAAGCATTTGAGAAAAAGATGTGAAAACGCGTAGTCACTTGGTTTTGTAACAGCTGCATCACACAACTGCAGAACGCTTATCTAACCTGAATATTGCAGAGTAAAATGTTTCCGAAGCTAGTGTTTTTTTTTTTACATCTTTTGTTCCCTCTCCCCCAAAAATGTGAATGCAAATTAGCCTTACAAAGCAGATAAGTCCACAGCCGCACAGATGGGACCAGTTACAATCTGTGTAATCAAATGAAATTGAATTAAACACTAAACAATAGCTGCAAGCTGCCAACAGTGAAATAATGAATGAATGGGATTATGATAAGACAACTGGCTTAAAATAACTGTGTTTTTTCCTAACAATACTCAAATATGTGAAAAATATGTGAATAAGTTGGAGGAATATAGAGTAATTTAAGTAATATTAAAGGTGCACTGTGTAACTTTTCTGGTGGAGGGTGTGTCACCTGCTTGTTTCTATGGAGATGTCATTACTCTGCCTGGAATGTTCCACAGTGTGACATAAAACAGTTCTACTTTACATTAATTCAGTTACAGGTGGTTTTAGAGCTCAAAAATACCTAGAAAAACAAAATGTGAGCGGGGTCGCCTCTCCACAGATCTGACCTGTAACTTGGTCTGGTTTGGTCTCCATGAAGATAGAAAGGTTCAAACCATACTGTGAAACATTCAGACAAAGCAACAACATCTCCATGGCGAAAAGTGTTTGACGGAGCCTCCACCAGAAAGGTTACACAATGTATCTTTAAATAGTGGGTATTCAGCAATCAATCAAATTGACTATTTGGAGATTTCTCCCATGTTATAATCACGTTGTTCCCTCATCAAAAACATGCCTGAAGAGGTTTTAGATGTCATTCATACATGTTTGAGTAATCTAGCGATCTCTCCTGGGCCCTAAATCCTTCCTACAGTCAGCTGTAAGACTCTGTACAAGGCTCCGCCCACAAGCCTACGTAACCCATGCTCCCACACATAAGATTGTATAAAAGACGTGGAATAAGCGAGTGTGACGTCACCCAGAGTGTTCAGCGCTGCTCAAATGAGACTCGCATTGCTCACAGTTACAGGAGCCAATCTGGACTCAGGCTCTTATGTTATGAGTAGGATTTTTTTGACAGACAAAATAGCGAAAAAAAATTCAGGAACATGTAGAGTGGATTAATTCGAAAATTTTAAGACCAAAATGACAAGGCTCATTGCAGCAGGTACAGAGAGAGGAGCCACAAGATCCTAACGTAAGTCCATTGGGGCCAGAGTCAGAAGGAGCCGGAAGAGCCTCCTGGAGAACTTCCTAATTGACACGCAGCGGCTAACGTGTTAGTTCTGTCCACTCATATATACGGTCTATGCTCCCACACGACAGATTTTAGGATAACGCTCTAAAAGGTGATGTCCAAGTGACTCAGAACATCAAAACAAACTGAATAAATAATGAATAAACATGTTTTCAATGAATACAGCATTTTCAAAACAATAAACAGTAACATGGTGATCTAAATACATTATGTTTTGGAAGTTAATACCCCATAGAAGTAAAATGCCCCCTCTTTAAAATGACAATTTAGTTCTCAGTGCATATTTTAAACACCTCCAGGAGAATTAACCCTTGAGAGAAGACTGGAAAATGAATTAAGATGAGTTAGTAGGTTTTATACAAGAAAGTAGAAAATGTATGTTAGACATCAGTCTTAATAGGCTGGGTTCACTTATGTGTCAGATTTTGTTTCATGTGGGTTGGCCTAGCAGTTCTAGAATGTTTCGATGTCATGGAACTCAAACCACTGCAATATAACATCAGGCAGCACTAGGGTTATTAAAAGTATCAAAATTCAGATGCTAGTCGATACCCATTTTTCAGGAGGTATCGATACCAAAAAAAAGTCTAATTCCCAGGACAGAAATTAAATACACGCCCATGGGCCACTATGGAACCTACCTGGACCATTGAGGGATTACACACATACTGTATAAGACACATGGGAACAGAAAAGAAAGTACTATGATTTAAATATGCTGAAAATCACATTCTGTTGTTATTGAGTGTTTTCAATAATCATCATGACATCAGAATCAGTATTGAGTATCGTGCCTATTCCTTAGTATTGAAATCAAGTTTAAATTCTAGTATCGTGACAACACTAGTCAGCACATATACCCAGCAATACACATTTCATCCAATCACCCACCCCCCAGCATGCTATTGGGCGAGGTAGAAACTAAACATAAGACTAGCAACAGACACGAGATGATTATTTGAAAATATTTTACCTGTTTGAGCGCCTTCTTGCTGTGTTTCTGCGATGGGGAGAGGAGTTTGGCAGTGGGCACAGAGGGAGACGAGCACCGGGGCTGTGGAGACGAAGGCTGAGACTGGAGCTTGGAGGGAACTGCCAAAATAAAACACACACAAAAAAACAGGTTAGAAAATTCAAAATACACAGCCCCGGGGGAAAAATACAGAAACTTAAAATGCTTTTGTTAAGACGAAACTAAAACTCCACTCCGCACAATAGCTCAGATTATGTTACCTTTCCGAAATATATCTCAACAATAATGGACTGTAGACACTGGTTTAGACATGGTTAAAGCTGTACTATGTAACTTTTCTGACACAGCTGCTTGTTTCTATGGAGATGTTATGGCTTTGGCTGGTATGTTCCACAGTATGGCATTAAACACACAGTATCTATCTTGCACTGAGTCAATTATTATTACCAGTATATTTTTTTGAAAAATAAAAGACCCATTGACATTCGCAAACATTCATAGAAACATAAAGGTGATGGTCTCCCTATCGAAAAGTTAACTAACCTTTAACTAGAGTTTTAGCATCGTGAATCTCCATGTGAAACAATTTTGCAACTTAAGGTCTTTAAAAAATTTAAATAAGTCAAATAATTACAAGGAAAGAACAGACAAGAGTTATATTCTTATGTGTTTTTACTGTTGAACTTTCTTCCCTCTCAAATGCAAAAACAGTTTACAAGTATGTCTTTTGCAAGTGCATAAATAGGAAATGGTCACGGTCAACCAAATATATAGCTTCCTGTTAAATATGATCTACTAAAATGTAAACCAGAGACACCAAATGCACAGTCTGAGAAAAACAGTACAATACAGTCATTTGTTCTGAACAACAACAAAATGCTCACAACGAAGGCTGAAAAGTGCACACACCATCCGTATTTAAGGAGAATTTCCAATGTTAGCAGCGGCCACAAAACTATTACAGACTTACCTTTAGTGAGAAACATTGTGAATTTTAATCCAAGAAGTTCTCAGAGACAGGTTTAATTAATGTTTAAGCTAACGTTTAGCTAGCGTTGTGCAAGCCGTTCATTCGGTTTCCTGTGTTTTGTCAAGACGTTGGTCGATAAAGGGCGTAACTCACCCGTTTGTCAAAACTGAAAATAAAATTAAAGGGGAGTGGTCCGAGTGAATGTATGGGCAGAGTTTAAGTTCATATTAATAAAGAACGGCTATTTACATTTGTGTTTTGATCACGAGTTTTGTTACTTAAATAAATGTAAATATACAGAGATAAAAAGTTAAAAGTATCAGATGAAAAAAAAAATATTTAAATTAAAGTATTACATTTAACTACCAGTTTAAAAATTTACTTTTAGAGTTAAAAGTAAGTATTTCACACAGATTTGGATTTTGGTCAACAGTGCCAAGACAAATCATTTTCTTTTTTTCTTTTTTTTTTTTTTAATGAATTTTGTGTATTTATTTTCATTTGCTCAAAGCTGAAGCTTGAACTGAAAAGCTTCAGTCACGATGTTACCACAAACATGCTAAATAATCATGTCAATTCATGTCAACACATTTCAGTACAGTACTTAAGTCCAGGTTTAGCCCTGGTTCAGTCCTGGTTTAGTCCTGGTATAGTCGTGGTTTAGTCCTGGTTTAGTCCCAGGTTAGCCCTGGTTCAGTCCTGGTTTAGTCCTGGTATAGTCGTGGTTTAGTCCTGGTTTAGTCCCGGTTTAGTCCCAGTTTAGACCCGGTTTAGTCCTGGTTCATTCAGTCAGTTCAGTATGAATCACGTCTGGAGAACTGCAGAGCTGCCTGTGGTTTTGTGACCTCTCTCAAACTCCAGCACTGAGTTACCTATGACTCTGAGGGAGAGTCTGGTAAATATTTGTATTTAGTTGTACATCAGTTAAGTGGAACTTTGAGAAGAAATGTTGAAAAAGGTAAAAAATACAGAAGTTCTAAAACCACACTGACACTTTGCAGCTGATGTCATTCCCTGGGGGTGTAACGCTAACTGTAGGCTCTGCTATGTCTGAAACTCTCTTACTCAAGTTAGACTTTAATCTGATCTTTGTTTTAACACAATCTGACCATAAAGAGCTGATTTAGCAGGAACTACAACAAGTGACCTGATTTGTGTTTTAAACAAGTCTCTCACACATAATATTACATTTACAAGCTAGCTAGCATTAGCCAACAGTTTTTATTGAACAGCAAACTCCTAAACTGACCATGACCCTTCGTATTGATCACAGGCTTCTGAAAATGTGCTGCTTAAACCTATTTTGTATTTTGTTTTCTATGGCTGGGCATGTTAATGTGTTAATTTTGCATTAACTGCTGAATTCATTATTGCCGACAATTATTTTTCTCTCCTTAATGCACTTTTGATGCAATTAAGATTTAAAAAATTTTTGCTCAGCCTTAATTTTTTCTTGAGTTTTTAGATTATATAAAAACTTTTTCTTTGTCGGAGTTGGGTAATGTGTCCATTGTGTCACCATGGCAACTGCAGAACATTCCATCAGATACAGACACATGTAGAACACACCCAGCATGATGAAGACCTTTAACCAGGACATTATATCATAAAAGGAGGAGGGGATATTAATAGGCTGATCCTACAAAGATAAATCAATGTTATAATTACTCCTTAAAACACTGTCCTCTTGTGGCTTGAATTGAAATGGCAGGAATAATATTAAACACTTATTATCATGTCATATTTATTTTTGATGTAATTTTCTTCCCTGGTGATAATAATAATTAATGGACATGGGTAATGGCTGAACATTATATATTGTGTTGGATGGACATCAACTGTGCCTCACTTTTGGATTGGCAAAGGTTTGTATGGGAGTGGCAAACAGAGAGAACCATGACCTGATGAAGATCCACTGATCCTTGTCACTCATTAAAGGGCCCACACATAAACTGTTTATATAAATGGATCCAGCCAACGAGTTTGCGTCACATTCCAAAAAGGAAGTTCTCATGCAGCTCTTTCGGGTCTTTCTGATCCTGGCTCCCACTGACTCACATTAGAATATTGTGGCCCCTCTCTTTGTATCTGCTGCTGTGAGCCCCGTTATTACCTCCGCCAAGGAGGTTAAGTTTTTGCCGGCGTTTGTCTGTTTGTTTGTTTGTTTGTCTGTCTGTTAGCAACATAACTCAAAAAGTTATGGACCGATTTTGATTAAATTTTCAGGATTTGTTGGAAATGTGAAAAGAAAGAACTGATTTCATTTTGGGGGTGATCCGGAAGAAATCCTGGATTCTGGATCACTTTGAAATTTTAGTTAACATTGTGGTAAATGGGGCCAAAGATTTTGTTTCTCAATATCTCGGTTAATTATTGACCAAACCCCATGAAATTTGACTCAGGGATGGACAATGGGATCCTCTTTCATATTCCAAAGGCTGATCCGGATCTGATCCAGAAGACTGATTTTATCGCAATTTATATAAAAATGGGGGTAGTCCTTGGCGGAGGTCTGCGCTTTCTGACTGCTTTTCTAGTTTTGGTCTTAAAATGTTTGTATTAACCTGCTCTACACGATCCTGGAGTTTTTATTTTGCTGTTTTGTCTGGCTCCAAATTTGCCCATAACCGTTTGCATCATGAGCTTCATTTGAGTGGAGCTGAATGCTACGCGGTGATGTCACACTCACTTTTTATACAGTCTATGGCAGACATGTCAAGCTCAGGCCCGGGGGCCAAATTTGACCCATGATATAATTATATTTGGCCCACGAGATGATATCAAATATGTATTAGAGCTGCCCGCCGACTACAAAGACATTATTTATTTCAAATTTTGTTATTATTTTATATTATGCTTGTTCTGGATTCAATGTTTAAGCAAAACTTTCATTAAATATTAATATTAATTAAAAAAAGGTTTAACATTACATATCTCGGAAGGAGCAAAAACATGCAGATGTTGTTGAAATTTTTCTAAAAATATTTAGTTTGGCCCACGACTTACTCCCAGTTTTTTATGTTGGTCCTCTCTGAATTTGAGTTTGACCCTCCTGATCTATGGGCATATATTACACTGTTTTCTGATCTCTGTTCTAATGTCTTTTCCTCATCACAAACACACCTGGAATTATGTTTTGTTTCATTCACACATGTTTAAGACAGAAACCCTGTAGATTTAGCCTGAGTTCTTCTCTCAAACTGAAAGCACTTTTAAAACTCCTACATCTTCACAGAGCATTTTGAGCTTTGGAGATATTGACAGACTAATAATAAAGAGTTACTCAAACATGTGTGGATGAAACAAAACACAACTCAAGGTCTGTTTTTGAGGCGGGAACAACGTTACAATACGGCTTAAACCTGTTGTGTGTAGTACAGGAGCTTTAAATGCATGTTTGTGCGCAAGTGTTTCTATGGCTGTTACCTCTTCTCATCCACCTCCCCCTCCTCTGCTCGGGGCTGATGGAATTCTCTGTGCTCCTGGAGTCGCTCAGAGTGTCACTGCTGCTTTCCTCTGACCCGTCCTCAGACAGATCCTTCACCGTGTCCCCACTGTCCTTCTGAAAAACACAAATGCACATTTACACTGGGGACAAAGGAAAGTGGTGGAAGCTCTGTCAAATGCTTTTCTCCATGGAGATGTTGTTGCCTTGTCTGGAATGTTTCACAGTATGGCAATAAACCTTTCTATCTTCATGGAGACCAAACCAGACCAAGGTCAGATCTGTGGAGAGGCGACCCCGCTCACAGTCAGAATGTCTGTTTTTCTTTCAGCTATAAAACCAGCTGTAATTGAATAAATGTAGAATAGAGCTGTGGAACATTCCAGGCAGAGCAGTGACATCTCCATAGAAACAAACAGGTGACGGACCCCCAAATGAAAAGTTACATAGTGCACCTTTAAAGTTAAAATGAAAGCACAGCAAAAGAAAAATTAAATGATTCCACCTGGACTAAAGGTTTTTGGTTTGTTTTTGTCTCCTAACTGGAGAGATTACAGACATCTTATATGGAAGGAAGTTGGATTCAAATATTCAGTGTACATTACACTACAGTAAAAGGATTTATAAGACAAAACGAATCAAAATTACATAGCAAAAATATGTTCTAATCATGGTTAATGATTTCTTAAAGGGCCCATATTACTCTATTTTCTGATTTGTGTTCTAAAGAAAGTGTTTTCCTCATCACAAACAGACCTGGAGTTGTCTTTAGTTTCATTGACACATATTTAACACACAAACCCTGCACATTTAGACTCAGTTCTTCTCTCAAACTGAAAACATCCTGTTTCACGCTGTGATGTTAGGTGGTGATACAGGAAGTGCGACACTGTCTTTTTAAACTCCACACACCTTCACTAGAATCACTTGGATCATATCAGCTCTGGAATTGTTTATCTCTTCTGCTATAAATGGTTAAAAGTAGCTGTTCACTTGAAGACTACTGCTTCATGACATTACAAGGTGGAACAGAGCATTCTGAACTTTGGAGATGTCGACAGACTCATAATAAAGAGTTACTCAAACATGTGTGAATGAAACTAAACACAAGTCCAGGTCTGAGGTAAAAACATCACAATAGGGCTAAAAGATCACAGTAATCAATTTTGTGTAATACGGGAGAAAATCAAACAGTCAAATCTTTCCCACCTTTAAAGTGTAGACACCCATCCGGCCCGGGACTTTGTAGAAAATGCCCTCTTCTCCTCTGGAGTTTGTGTGGAGCATTGCGTTCAGACATGCCAGCGGAGACGTCCCACTAAAATACAGACACAGCATTTCAGTTTCACATGACATAACTCACTAATTAAACTCAAATACTAAAAGGGAGCAGGATCTAGGCACGTTTTCTATCATGCAGTTCATTAGAGGGGCCACTGCTAGATTACAGCTTTTAGATTTGATGTTATTATGTGTTTGGTTGGTTAATCAATGGCATGTAATGTGGACAGAGGTTAAATGGATGGAGTTTGAACACAGCCTATGCTCTCACTGGAGGCTTCAGAGTGTTTTTGTAATACAGTCTGCCTGTTTTAAATTATAATGCATTCAAGCTTTTAAATGCTTTGACATTTGTTGCATAAGACTATGCTGTCAATAAATAAAGTAATAATAAATAAATAAATACATACATAAATAAAAACATAGTGTTTAAATATTATTTGTCAAACATTAGGCGGGATAGACATGTACAGACTTATTTAAACTGCATTATATAACTTTTCTGATGAAGGGTCTGGCAAATGTATCCTGAAACGTCTTTGTTTTGCCTGGAATGAGCATGGTATTAAACATACCCATGAATATCCAAAGAAGCAAGCTAGTGACACTACAAGGCCAAGTTACAAGTCAGATCTGTGGAGAGGCAACTCCGCTGCCAATGAGAATGTATGTTTTAAAGCATTTTTCAGCTATAAAAATACTTAACGTAAGACAGCTACATTTATGGCATGCTATGGAACATTCCAGGCAATGCTGTAACATCTCGATGGAGACAATTAGGCGTTGGAACCTGTATCTGAAAAGTTTCAAAGTGCACCTTTAAGTTTGTTAACACTACATGGCAACTACCTCCAACTTCAGCGAGCAGTGACAGTGACGCATGTTGTAAAAGTTCTAATCATACACTAGAATCACAGTATAAAGAAGTGACTTGAGAAGTGGACCCAGAGCGTTCAGTTCAAATCAAATGAAACTAACTGAGGCTAGCCGTTATAGAGGCAAATTTGGAGCCAGTTCCATATTAGGAAAAGGAATTTAATTATGGACATTATAGCAAAATAAAAACACCAGGATCATGTAGAACAGGCCAATATGAACATTTAAGACCTAAATGAGGAGGCCGAAGAGTAGAAGTTAAAGAGAGATACAATACAATACAAAGTTAACTGGGGCCAAAATGGATGGAGCCTTAATGGGTTCTAATGGGGAAGGTTCATATTTTTAGAAGGCTCACAACACTTTTCTCCCTATAAAAGTGATATAATCCATAATGTTACTACTTATTTCAACAATTAATGGCTATAAACTCAATAAACAGACTGTCACTGGATTTACTATTCTACAAAATACAGTAAAACAGCACTGCATGTGTCTTTACCATCAGACTGCAACAGCATCAGAATTGTGTGGTCCTATGACGGTCTTTTATTGATATGATTTGCTATCTTTGCGAATTTTTGTTAATTTTAATTTATTTATTTATTTTTTATTTTATGCTTTATTTGATTTGTTAACTGATATAGTGTCCACTCTGTGTAGCACTTTGGAGACATTGTGTTGGTAAAATGTACAAATAAAGTTGGACTGGATTGGATAAATAAAGGATATGTTACATAACATTAGCCTTCTAAAGAGTGTAATTACCATAATTATAATAGTTTGTCTAATCCATGGGTGTCAGTATGATGAGAAATTAAGAGCGTTGCCATAGTGATTAAACAAAATATTATATCATAATTTGAATGGAAAAAGTCCTCACAACACTGCTTATGTATAACAGAAAGCTGAAACCTATCAAATGCTTATATGAAGATTAATTAATAAAACATGTGACCATGTGAAAATGGTCAATTACATTTGTGTGGTGTATCTAAAATTTCAAACTTGATTTTGATACTAAGGAATACATTTAAAAACCTCTTTCTTCTGACAATAGATTGTGATTTTCAGCATATTTAAATCATAGTACTTTCTTTTCTGTTCCCATGTGTGTAATATGTGTGTAATGGTCAGTGGTGCAGTAGGTTCATGTTGGTCCATGTGTGTGTACTAGTCTATGTGCTCTTCTACTAGTTCTGATACAGCTCAACATCATTCTAAACACATGCACGAAAGCTTCTCCTCTGTCCTGTCAATGGGACTTTTTTTAGTATCTATACCTGTGAAAAATAAGTATCTAGTTTTGATTGTCAATATTAGTTTGCATATTGATTAGAATTTGTTTTTGGATACTTGAAAATCCTATGTATATGTAAATTCTTGCATCAGCATAGTAAAATCTGTGTCATGTTTCACCCTTAGGTTTAAGGCAGCATCAAGTCTATGTAAAGTGTGGTCTTTATTTTGCAGCCGAAACTAGGACATGTTATTGTTACAAACATGCACAAGGGAAAACTACACAACAGTGCAGTGAGGTGGTTAAAGCGCAGGGTGGGAACTGGCTGTTTGTCTTACCTTCTGGACGAGAACAGAGACAATGAGACAAAAAGAAATTATAATTACTACTGAGAAAACAAATGGTGCCAGTGAGACTGATGTGAACAGAAGGGATGTCAATATATGTTTAACAAAGGACTGTGATTTTGGTATAATGCAATAATAAAAAAGTTCCATTGTGTAACTTTTCTGATGGAGTCTGTTAGCGGCTTGTCTCCATGGAGATGATATAGTTTTGCCTAGAATATTCCGCAGTACTGCATTAAACACAATTTAATTAAAAGTGCTTTTATTATTATTATTACAGAGGTCTGATCCACTCAAATGAAACTCACCAAGGCCGGCAGTTACAGGAGTGAATTTGGAGTGGACTTCCATAAGAGCAATAGGAATTTATTTAGGAACAAAATAGCGAAATAAAAACACCAGGATCATGTAGGGCTGGTTAATACAATCATTTAAAGACAAAATGAGGAGCCAGACAGCAGCAGATACAGAAAACGGGGCTACAGAGACGATAGAGCCAGAAGTGTCTCCATGCACACTTCCTATTTAGTTAGTTATGTCCATTTATATATTGAGGCTATGATTCTTTCTGTGAGTGGCATTGCCTCTGCACAGATCTGACCTGTACCTTGTGGTGGCCTGCTTGTCTCCATAAAGATTAGATCATGTGACTATTAATGCCACACTGTGACATGTAACGCAACATGGCAGACAAAGAATTACATCTCCATGGAGACAAGTAGGCTGACCCTTCAGCAGAAAAGTTACATATTGCACCTTGAACAAATATAACTATAAGAACATCAGGGATAAAAAAAACAAAAACTAGTCTAGTGTTTCTAAAACTAGTCCACCAAAATCATAACACTTAAATTTAGTATAGTGACAACCCAAATAAATATTGAATATAGACTAAACAGCAGTGTACTCCCACCATTAATAAAATACACATTAATGGTCCTATATTACGCAAAATTGACTCTTATGAGCTTTAAGTCCTGTTAGAATGTTGTTACCTCCTCAAAAACAGACCTGGAGTTGTGTGTCACACATGTTTGAGTAACACTGCATTAAGTCTGTCAAGTGAACACTTTCACCTTTAGTTCAGTAGAGATTGGCAATTCCAGAGCTGAAATGATCCAAATGATTCTAGTGAAGGTGTGTGGACTTTAAAAATACAGTGGAGAACTTCCTGTATTAGCACATGACATCACAAGGTGGAATAGAGTGTTTTCAGTTTGAGAGAAGACCTCAGTGTAAATGTGACGTGTTAAACGTGTGAATGAAACAAAACACAACTCCAGGTGTGTTTGTGACGAGGAAACTACATTGGAACAGAGATCACACAACAGTGTAATATAGGCCCTTTAACAGATATTGTATAAGTGAGAAGTGACGTACCTTATTTCTTTCAGTCGCTCTCGTTGGATCACCTGCAGGATTTCTTTATGGCTCATGGGTGTATTCGGGTACTTTTCCAAAACCTAAAAGCAACAAAAGGATTTACAATAAAAGACGCTCAAGACCAGGTTTCAATTACACATCTTAATTACTAACACAAAGAGGTCAAATTGTGATCATGTGTAATTAATGAAATTATTACATTTATTAAAAGAGCTTGTAATTTGTTTCACAGTATGGCATTTAACTTTTCTATCTTGCATTTATTCGTTCAAAAGTTTTTATTGTTCAAAAATACTTGCATTTTCAGTGAGTGAGGTCCCTCTCCAAAGATCTGACCTGTCACTTGGAGACAGATAACTTTAATGCCATATTGTGAAACGTTTTACACAAATGAGTGACATTAGAGATTATACCTTTAAATACAGCATTTAGATGATTGTTTTGTATATTTATTAAGTATACAGAAAAAATAATAACTATTAAACCGTATTAGTTTGGTTTATTCTATTTATTAGGAACAATGCATGTAAAAACAGTGACCTACACAAAGAGATATGTTATCTTCTTCTTATATACAGTAACTTTTCATTAATATTTTAGTCTTTTTTTCATACCATACTCCATACAATTGTATAACCCATTTAACCTAATTACAAAATAAACTAATGTATATATATTTTATATTTTTCGGTGTTTTTTTTTTATTTTTGTAAGGCAACCTCATTTTTTCATTGCTTAGTTATACTTATACTCTTATCAGCCTTATAGGCTTGTGAAAGCAATGCTATTTACTGCTTTTTATAAAGAAATGCAATTAAAGAAATATAATATTTTGCAGAATTGAGTTAAGCTTTTTAGCCTGGCTCTTCACAATATTTTCTGTTTCTCATGTGGCCCCATGGAAAAAATAATTGCCCACCCCTATGTCTATGTCATTCATTATTTCATCTTTGCACTGCTTCTCCTTAAAACCTCTTGTAGATAGTCAAGATATACTGACTTACTATATTTCTATTTCTATTTTTACTTGTACATACACAATAATTAAGCCTTATTGACACCAGTCTCTTGCTATGTTTGCTTCTTATTTTGAATGTATTATTACCATTTATAGTTTGGCTTTGTTATTATAATATACTAGGTCGAAATGATTTCCCTTGTGGATCAGTAAAGTTTGTTTAAGTCTAAGTCTTTCTTACTGCTTTCTAATACACACATTATGGTTTTGCAAACGGTTTTCTGACTATAACTTTCATATATGTACAGTTGGCCTTGATACAAAACTTTTAAGTCATGACAAAGTTTGGACTGTCCCTGCTTCTTTAACCTCACTGAGCTCATGTCATTCTCATAGTTTGAAGTTCTTCACCTTTCCTGACACTGCTATCCACTTGGTCATTAGCATGCTATAATCGTTTACTAGCCACTTTGCTAACTACGCTTAATTATGCAGTAATTACGCCAATGACAGCTCGTATAACACATTGCAACGTTAAATAGGCCACACAAAAGGGTGCGTGTGGAAAACAACATCAAGAAATTGCAATTCGTTGTGTAATAATTAAAAGTGGCGACCCAAAACTTGTTGACGACGCGTTAGCACGAAAGCTAGCATGCTAACTCTGCTAACACAACACAGACGCTCCAACTTCATTCAGAGTTTATTTTACGCCATAACACGACACATGGACGCTATAGCACGTAGACAAAAGAATTATAAACTATTAGAGATTATGTTTTAGTGCAAATAAGTTTATTAAAGAGTGTAAAAAGCTGACAGACGGAATCCTGACAGCTATGTTGCGCAAATGTCTGGACCGATATTGTCCCAGGCATTTCGGTTCAAGGCGGGCACAAGCTTAAGTAGTTTGTTATTAGATTAACTTCCAAAACGAGGGTGAACATTTAAAAGCATAGTTAATTCATTATTATATTACATTAGGTTATGGGTTAATAGAAATTCTCGTTAAAATGCGGTGGGATGTGAAAAATATGATGTTTTTGACACAATTTACGCGCAAAACCAACCCAAAACCTATTCTTAACTGCACAGCCTTAACTCAGAATCTGTCCCAACAATAAACTAAACAATTTTGACATTTAGCTTACAGATCACTGCTTAAACTTTGCAGAAATTGTATAAAAAACACGCACAAACACCTGCGTATCCAAGCCGGACGAAATGCCTAGAATTTCGCGACTCCCAGCCGTCAACACAGGCCTCATCAGCGGGTCATGAACTCACACGATACTCTGTTGTACAAGTGGGAGCGATCAAGGAAAACAACCACAACAAACGCAGTAAAAAGCGACTAGATTACCGTTTTGGCCGCCTCTGCCCACGTCCGGCCCTTCTTTTTCCTCTGCCTCTCCCGCATGGTCTCTGTCCTGTGCGTAAAAGTGCGTATTTGGAGTTGTAAATGTTGAAATGTTGCGCGTTTTGGTCACCGCGAAACGTCCACTCTAGCTGCCATGTTGGACTTTACTGTAAGCGGTCACATGACGATAAGGAGACGTCATCTTACTGTAAATAAAGACATGAAAAAATAAAAAAATAAAAGATGTGGTCATTATTACAGAGTTCCACCTTTATTATATAGGCTACACGCATATGGAAGGTCTTATATTACGCAAAATGGACTCGTTAGTTTTAAGTAGTTTTAAGTGACCAGACGCCCCTATTTACCCGGGACAGTCCCAGTTTTGAGTCCTGTGTTCCTTGTCCCAGCAGATTTATCCAAAACCGGTGATTTGTCTCAAATTTATACAAGAAATGTCCCAGGTGTCCCTATTTTTTGACCAATCTGATCCCTGTCAACAGTAAAAAGAGGCATACATTACACATTACACATACTTTTTATATGTATATATATATATGTATATGTTTATATAATATATGTATATACATACACACACACACACACACACACACACACACACACACACACACATATATATATATATATATATATATATATATATCCCTTACTCACACCAGTCTCTTGCTATCTTTTGTGCTACTTATTAAGAATTTATTATCACCATTTATGTTTTTTACTCTTTGTTATTCTATTATATTGTGATGTGTGACTCCTGTGTCTAAGTCATTTCCCTTGTGGATCAATAAAGTTTGTCTAAGTTGAAGTCTAAAACAGAACTCCAGGTCTGTTTGTGATGAGGAAACATTATAACTTAGATCAGAAAATAGCATAACATGGGATCTTTAAATAATTACACATTAGTTACTATGTTAAGCCCAAAGACGTGTAGGCCTATTTGCTATAAGATTTTAGCGTTTGTGTGAGTGTATTCAGTAGGAATTGCGGATTGTTTTTGACACGAAGTAAAATGATCCCATTTATTTGTGGAACCAAGCTATTTAGCTTTAATCAAAAAGACTTTGACCAGTCCTCAAATTAGCTCTTCCCATTACACCTCTGCTCTGAGAACGCATCGGGTACAGAAACTCCACACCTTTTAATGAACTTTCCAGTTTTTCTTTTTATGGACTTTATAATATTTGTGTCTGAAATAAAGAATAAATCAAATCTTAGTATGCCCAGTCTGCCAAACTCATCAATCTGGAAAACTGTAACAAATAACAGTAATGTCTACAGTATTTTATGTTTATTTGAACATGTGCACATTTCCACGTTTATGAAAAATAAGGCAGTTAAAAAAAAAAAAAAAAAGCATTGCAAAAACATTCACATTTTGGCTCTGAACTACATTAGCAAACGACAATCATGAAGCCAATAAAGAAGAAGCCAGTGCCTTCACATTGAGCTGGATACATGTTTAAGTACTCATTTAACAGTAATACATTGTGCAAGTTCATTAACAGCTGAATTAAAGAAGGCTTGCTTTGAAATTACAATTACAGTTTCGTTTACCTGAATGTCAAAACTCATTCAAATCAATAAGCTTTGGCTGTGCATTAAACGTAATACATTATACAACAGAGGTCTGCGTCAGTGCTGTTTGGTTCTAGTCTAGAACTGTACAATTAGCCATAAGAAGCTTGTAATATACTCGCCTACGTACAATAAAAACAATGTTATGAATGAAGTAACAATTTCTTGGCACATTTTCAGTCTTGGTCCTGGTTCAACCTTGAAAGCTATTACAAAAACTTCACACATTCTTATGCTTTATGTACTTTTAAAGCCATAATGACAAAGATATACACTACGTAACTTTGCCACCATTTGCTTGTCTCCACAATGACGATATTTAGTTTCCTGTAATGGTACACAGTTTAGCATTAAACTAATTTGTTAGTTTTGACTGTTTAAAAAAATATCTGTAATTACTGTAAGTGGGGCCAACTCTCCACAGATCTGACCTGTAACTTAAGACGAGTGTACACTATACGATTTTTGGCCCTTTTTGAGATGATTTTTCACTCACGCAGTTTTTGGGATTGGGACGACTTTTGGCTTAATCGTGAGTCGTGATTAGTGTAGTTACAAGAACCGATTAATACCTCACGACCGGCTCCCGATCGGCAATCATAGGTCACAAAAGTATCAGACCTGTTTGATATCCAGCTGCCTCTCGAGAGGGCTTCACAGTGAGCACCAGATCAGTGTGAGAACATGAATCGAGAGCTGTGACCTTTTAAACTCTGTGGTTTGGTCATACAGTTTAAGCTGGGGCTGAGTGAAATGATTGAAAATATCGTACAGTGTATGCCAGACATTAGTGCCCGATAGTGGTGCCAGTGTAATGCCATACTATGGAATATTCAGGCAAAGGCAATAATACCAATGTGGAGAGAAGCAGGTAGCAGATGCTCCATTGGAAAAGTTACATAATATACCTTTAAATTGCAGCTAGATACACTTTAAAGATTTAATGCAGAACTGGCGACTTTAACAAAGACAATGACAATCAATAGTCATGCTTCAGTTGTGCAAATTTTTAACAAGTTATGAAACAAATGTCAGAAATTACTGTTTGCAAAAAGCATCAATAAGAGTCTTGAAGTAGTTTGTGCAAATACAGACCTTATGGTAGCTATTTTTAAACAAAATCTAACTAGTTCCCTTTCATTCACTGGGCCAACCATCGCCAACTGCCACAAACTTGTCATTTTTCCAGGGCTTGGGACCAGCACAATTTTTGGGGTGTAAATTGTGTTAAAATAAAACAAAACCAGAGCCTTCCACTTAAGAAATAAAAGTTAACTATTTAAATCAACATCTCCGTCATATTAATGTGTTATAAATACTAATCTACATTCAAAGTGCTTCTGCTCTTCTTAACCTGTGCATAAAGTGTTAGGGTTAGTTTAATGCTACCACTGTTACATCACAAACTGTACGTCAGTGTTGTGAGAAACCTGCTTTAACCCGGAGTCAGTGGACCACATTCTCTTAGAAGTGCCTATGACAGGTTAAACTACTCATTTTTAAGATTTCATCAAACACATTCACACTTGTTTTCCCAATTTGGCCATTTCTTAGGGTTAAAATTTGACTTTCTGGTTGGAAATCATGACATTCCACTGGGGAATTCTGTAACTGTTACAGAGCAAAACTCATACACAGAAATAATCTGGCAAATACAAATATCAGAAAATATTTTTATTTTATTTTATTGAATTCATGTTGAAAGGATGAGGAAAAATGTGTTTCTTACGTATGTGGAAAAAGGGCCGAACTTTTGGATAGAATTCTCCCAGTATGATGTCATCCATGTTTTAGAACCTAATTCCCTGTAATTTTCAATATATTTTTCAACTTTTCTTCACAAATTGCTTCTTGGTTGGCATAACACTATTATGTTTAGTTACAATATCTCACCAAATTAAGTTAAAATTAAAGAACCATAAAAATCTGTCATAGGCACTTTTAAAGACTTACTTGGTCTATGGTGTGTTGTCTGTGGTTGTTCTATGGTGTGTTGTCTGTGGTTGTTCTATGGTGTGTTGTCTGTGGTTGTTCTATGGTGTGTTGTCTGTGGTTGTTCTATGGTGTGTTGTCTGTGGTTGTTCTATGGTGTGTTGTCTGTGGTTGTTCTATGGTGTGTTGTCTGTGGTTGTTCTATGGTGTGTTGTCTGTGGTGTGTTCTATGGTGTGTTGTCTGTGGTGTGTTCTATGGTGTGTTCTCTACTTTAGTGAATGCCTAACTTAAATGGCATAAGCTGCACACCTGGTTTTAGAAATATTTTACAAAAAGCCTGCAACAAACACTGAGGTCACTGAAGAATACAGCGCTAGCCTAATACAGGGGACATATTATGCTACTCTTAGAAGTTTTAAAACTAAGATGGTTTTCACACTGCCACTAGTTCGGTCGACATAAAAGACATTTTGGTCCCAGAATGTGCTTGGGCCAGTGTGAATATAACAGCTACATTCTGATTCACATTAAAAATTCTTAATATCTGCTCAAGTGAGTCTAGGTCTGTCTGCGCAGGTGAGTCTGGGTCTGTCTGCGCAGGTGAGTTTGGGTCTGTCTGCGCAGGTGAGTCTGGGTCTGTCTGCGCAGGTGAGTTTGGATCTGTCTACGCAGGTGAGTCTGGGTCTGTCTGCGCAGGTGAGTTTGGGTCTGTCTGCGCAGGTGAGTCTGGGTCTGTCTGCGCAGGTGAGTTTGGATCTGTCTGCGCAGGTGAGTCTGGGTCTGTCTGCGCAGGTGAGTTTGGGTCTGCGCAGGTGAGTCTGGGTCTGTCTGCGCAGGTGAGTCTGGGTCTGTCTGCGCAGGTGAGTCTGGGTCTGTCTGCGCAGGTGAGTCTGGGTCTGTATGCGTGTACACTCTTCATGGTGTATTCAGCCACCGGTTAAAGAAAATCACATATCGGGAACATGAGCCTGTGTGTATGTACATGGGGCTCTTGTCATAGAAATAAGTTCTCTGATCAGCTGATGGCCCGTCACGAGGCTCCTGGTGCATGTTTGCGGTGAATGACATTGTGTATGTGAACAACACAGATCCAAAAGTAAAGTAAACAGAACTAAATCTAGTGTCACTGGGGTCAGTCCAGAGAGCGCAGCAACCTGTGTGAAAACCACACAAGTTACCATGTTGTTTTATCATTCAAGAGGATTGGTGTTTTGAGACGTTCATGTTTAAGTAATCCAGTTTACTGAGATTCAGATGTAAACATGTAATCTCAGGTCTCTGTGTTTGCAAATAATAACCAAGTACGTGCCCAGTTTCTTACAAGACTTTGGGTGCGCTCACATTTTCTGTTTTTTGGTCCTGGTTTTAGTTCAAGTCCAAATGTAGATATGTTTGGTTCTGTTCTTGTCCTGCTTTAGTTCTTGTCTAGTCCAGATTTAGTTCCAGTTTATTTCTAACACTTTTGACTCCTGTGTGCTCTTGTTTGGTCCACTCATCTTTTCACCTATTAAACTGCATTAACCCCTCCTTGAACCGTCACCTTATCGTGGTGGAGGGGTTTGAGTGCCCGAATGATCCCGGGAGCTATGTTGTCGGGGGCTTCATGCCCCTGGTGGGGTCACCCAAGGCAAAC